CGGCTTCTTTGATTACAGTACATACTTTCCGGATGTCAATTCAATTGAATTAACAGTTAGCACGTCAGATACAAGCCAGCGTGTTAGCATCAGAGATTTACAGATATGGACATGCGCCGAAACAGTTACTACGATTGTTATTCCAACAACTACGCGTAATATTTTTAATGCTTTTCGCTATTTTTTTGGTTAAATATTAAGATTTCCATCATAAAAATTGGAATAATTTAAACTTGACCTTTTTATATTAGTTATTGCCATTTTTCATTTCACCTCAGCACACGAACTTACAATTACTGAAGAGACCTTAACACCAGGAATACTTTTCGAGCCGTCTACGCCACGAGGTCTTTTTTTTCATTGTAATAAATTATCACAATATTTTGTCCTGTTCAATGTTTAACTTTGTTTTATTTTACAATTCGGTGTTTTTTTCTGTGCATTTAGATATGGAAAGTCCATCGAAGTGTCAACTCAGTGATTTGATGAAAGAACAAACAGTTACTTCTGAAACCAACATTGGTTTGATGGCTGGATCTTCTAAAAACACTTTTGTGTTTCCTGGTAGCAGTGGAGTTACGCAGATAAAAATAATTGCAGAAACTACAAAATTTGTACAAAAAGTTGTTTTTAAGTCAGAAAATGTTCAGTCTGTTAAACTTGAATATAAAACACCGAATGGTAACACTGTCGATATCAATGATGTCACCGTTCATGATGATGGAAATGTGCTCGTTACATGTGATTATCCGAACGTTAAAACAATAACGTTAGATTTGACGGCCAAAAAACCCAATGAAAGCTTTAAAATTAACGATTTAAAAATTTTCATATGTGCCGAAGGAACGACTATTCCTGCTTTAACTACTCAAGGTCCTGTTGTTACTCAAAAGCCAAAACTATCAACAGGTTTGGACTATAACAAAAATTGTTAAACAATCTTTTTTTTAACATTTTCAACACTAACAATTATTCAGCTGTTAGCCAATGCTCGGTGAATAATCTAATGAACGAACAGGCAACTCAAACTTCAACAATGCCCGATGCTGGCTATGATAAATCGCGGCTCGAATACGTTTTCCCAAGTGGCAGTGAAGTAAATGTCATTACCGTAACTGCCTCTAATCCAAAAACAATTATGCAAATAAAGTTTTACTCGCAAAATATAGTTGATGTGGAAGTAAAATTCTACAACTCAAACAACGAGCAAATCTGGGATAAAGTAGTCGTACAAAATAATCCCAACGGCTTCTTTGATTACAGTACATACTTTCCGGATGTCAATTCAATTGAATTAACAGTTAGCACGTCAGATACAAGCCAGCGTGTTAGCATCAGAGATTTACAGATATGGACATGCGCCGAAACAGTTACTACGATTGTTATTCCAACAACTACGCGTAATATTTTTAATGCTTTTCGCTATTTTTTTGGTTAAATATTAAGATTTCCATCATAAAAATTGGAATAATTTAAACTTGACCTTTTTATATTAGTTATTACCATTTTTCATTTCACCTCAGCACACGAACTTACAATTACTGAAGAGACCTTAACACCAGGAATACTTTTCGAGCCGTCTACGCCACGAGGTCTTTTTTTTCATTGTAATAAATTATCACAATATTTTGTCCTGTTCAATGTTTAACTTTGTTTTATTTTACAATTCGGTGTTTTTTTCTGTGCATTTAGATATGGAAAGTCCATCGAAGTGTCAACTCAGTGATTTGATGAAAGAACAAACAGTTACTTCTGAAACCAACATTGGTTTGATGGCTGGATCTTCTAAAAACACTTTTGTGTTTCCTGGTAGCAGTGGAGTTACGCAGATAAAAATAATTGCAGAAACTACAAAATTTGTACAAAAAGTTGTTTTTAAGTCAGAAAATGTTCAGTCTGTTAAACTTGAATATAAAACACCGAATGGTAACACTGTCGATATCAATGATGTCACCGTTCATGATGATGGAAATGTGCTCGTTACATGTGATTATCCGAACGTTAAAACAATAACGTTAGATTTGACGGCCAAAAAACCCAATGAAAGCTTTAAAATTAACGATTTAAAAATTTTAATATGTGCCGAAGGAACGACTATTCCTGCTTTAACTACTCAAGGTCCTGTTGTTACTCAAAAGCCAAAACTATCAACAGGTTTGGACTATAACAAAAATTGTTAAACAATCATTTTTTTAACATTTTCAACACTAACAATTATTCAGCTGTTAGCCAATGCTCGGTGATAATCTAATGAC